TCAGTGATCCCTTCGACACCTCGTGATCACATAAGCTGATATGTTGTTCCATGTGGGCTTTGTTGCTTCTGAGCTAGATGGCCGAAAAAACTAATATTCTTAAAAATTAAAAAACCACTGGCCAGTGCTAACATATAAATTAAATTAAATTATAAATGCCAATTGCTGTCAAGGCGCTTCCAGCTCCTGCAATTCGATATAATAGAATAGAACTGAGCTGCCTCATAGAGTTTCCAAAGTTAGACAAGTAGATTGCCACATGTTTGTCCTACAAAACGGCTGGTGGATTTGAACTGCTGACCTTTCTCAGTTGCCAACCAAGTGGTAAACTACTGTACTACCAGGGTTCTGAAACGATAAATACTAGGCTTTAATGGTATAGTGTTGTTCCCAGTATTTTCACTACTCAACTGATTCTTTTTAAAAGACTTACGATTAGAAATCTGCTAGGATACGATAGATATCTCTAGTCTAGCAATTATTTCCTATAATACATGATTTTATAACAACAGATTGACAGAAGATCATAAGAATACTCTATCTGTATTAGTAATTTATCATGAAATTGGAAATTGACTTTTTAAAATTAGGACATATAATACCCTTAATACTACCATCATTCCCAAATCATCACATTTTCAAAGAATGATCCTTAAGAAAGACTGCTTGGTGCATTGTAATATGACAAATTATTCTTTGTCATTTCCAAGAAGTAGATTATTCGTAGGCTATAAAAATTGTTTCAGTCACAAGGGGAAAAAAATAGAATACAGCCCATATTATTCCTGGAAGTTAACTTAAAGATATTATCAAATTTGATGAAGGGTATCATATCAGTATGCCAAAATATAATAGACAGATAAAAATATTCTTAGTAAAATGCTAGATAGAATCAAGATATTAACAAATTACTATAACAGATAAAGCTTAAACTACAGAATGAATGCAAAGGTTAATTTGTTAACAAAAACACTATCAGAAAATCAAGTAAGAAACTTGAAACCCTAAATAGGACTAGGGCTCATTCCCTAGTATGAAATTTATACATAATAGAAAAAGACTAGATGTCAGGAATAAAGGAATCTGCAGTAGAATTCATGACCTTTTTATAGTCCCTGCTATTCCTGTAAGCAGTCTCAGAGGAAACTCACTCACGGGGGGTGGGGGTTGGGGGTGGGTGGGTGTGAGGGGGGGCAGGGCAGTTCTGCCCTGTCCTTGAGGGATATAAGCCAGTGTTGACTCAATGGCAGTGAGCGTAGATTTTTATTTGACCGGTAGGGTTGTTTTTGGAGCCCTAATAGTGTAATGGATGACGTGTTGGTGGGCAGTTCAAATCCACCAACTGCTCTGATGAGGTAAAAAATGAGGTCTTCTGCTCCCCTAAAGATTTACAGACCTAAAAGGGCAGTTCTCTTCTGTCCTGTAGTGTCACTACGAATCAGAATCACCTCAGTGACAATGAGTTTGGCTTGAGGTTGTAGACTAAATCAAAGAAATTACTAAAAATCTACTCAACTTATTTTTTAATTATTATGTGATAGATGTATTATAAATAGCTTGTATTAACACATTTTCAGCTAACAAGCTTTTTTAGGTTATTTAACTGGATTTTTCTTTACTGAATTAGTATCACCAGAGGAAAGGTGACCAGATTAAATCTAAATCTAAAATGCATTCAAGGTTTGTTATATCCGCACCTCGAGCTGCTGGTAAAGTGCACTTAGCAATGGTTCACAGCTATGACAGCCAGCTGTCATAAGGCTAATGTCCATACAGTTACACGAATACCCCATTAGTGAGCATCAGTGTGATCAACATCACCTAAGAAACAAGTTATTGCGAGACATTGCTAATGGAAATCATTTGTGTCTTAGAAAAGTAGAGGATTTTTTATTTCAGAATGCAGTCTGTTTACAACTGGCGTTAGCCATAAACTGATCTACAGCTCTGAAAGTAAGTGGTGACGCTTTCTATGCCTTGCACCTTGTCCCATCCTTTACATAGAATTTTTCTTTTTTCAGGTAACAGTGCAGATCTTCGATTAGTAAAAACTTACATTAAACTTGGACTGCCTGGGGGAAGAATTGATTTTCTGATGTCTGAAAGAAATCAGGTAAACATGATAGTGTTAGCGAGCATTTTTGTACCAGTTTCATTTAAATAATGTGCTTGCTACCAAATACCTGTAGTAGAAAAAGTACTTTTTATTTCGATGGTATTTGACATAAATATATAATGAAAATAAATTTATATGATTTGTATTTTGAGTTATGATTTTCTCAAGAATTTTTGGGATTTCACATTTTTATGCAATTAATTCATTAACTAAAACATCATAAAGACTTATGTTTATTTCTTGTAAAGGGCAAAATGATTAAACAATTGATTAAATGAAGCAAATGTTTGTAAAGGTATTAAATATTTTCCCCCCAAAACTCACTCTTTTTGCTAATTATAATGAATATTAGATCCAGTAAGTTCTCTAAGACTGAACATATTCTAATACAAAAAGATTACAAGTAACAATATTTAGATAACTGTCATATTTTAGTACATAATATATGTTTTTTATTTTTTAGAATGATACTTTTGCTGATTTTGATAGCATGACTGATCGCCTTCTGGATGAAATAATACAATACATTCAGATATATAGTCTAACAGTCTCAAAAATAAGGTAATTTCTGTAACGGTATACAGTTTATATATCTATGAATTACAGAAACTGCATTTGTGATAGCTTGGTTGCCACCATTGTAAATAGGAACAAACACACTCAAAACCATTTGGGAGGAAAACAAAAGATTATAGAGAAAGCCCACATATTTATGATGTGTTAAATGCTTAGTATCCAGATTATGGGAATTTGTAGACTGAAAGTAGGTTAATGTTTGCCTCACAGTGAGGGGTATTGGGAAGGCTATAGGGTTTCTTTTGAAAACGATAAAAAATATTCTTAAGTTAAATGTGGAAATGATTATATATCTCTGTGAATATACTAAAAGCAATTTAATTGTACACTTTAATAGGTAGATAGTAGAATGGTTTTGTTTTCTAGTTCTGCTATAACAGGACTACCACAAGGGGATAGCTTTTAAAAATGGACATTTCTCACATATAGGAAAACTAGAAATCTGAATTCTGGGCACAGACGCTAGGGGAAGCTCCTTCTCCGTCAAGTCTAGGGGAAGCTCCTTGTCCGCGTCTGCTTCTAGAGCCTCTAGCATTTACCTGGCATCCGTCTTCCCATGGTGCTTGCTTCTCCATTTCATCTGCTCTTTTTAAGTAATTCTGTTCATTATGCACTCTATTCTGATATGCCTGATTAACGTAACTAAAGAAATCCTACCTCCAAATATGTCTGTAGGTATAGGGATTAAAATGCAAACACATGTATTGGGGGACACAATTTATGTGTAATATGAATTATACTTTATTAAGGCTGTTACAAAGAAAGCATGCATGTTAATAGAAGAAACAGCAAAAATACTTGCAAAATGTCACGACTGCCATTTCTGAATCTGTTTTCCATGAGCAAGATGCTTGATTGCTTAATTCGATCTTGTGGCTAGAGATCGAAAAGAGGAAACATTTTGCCTCTTGTACTCGGTTTAATTTAGAAATTAAAGAAAAAGTCAGGACTGCCCCAAAAGGGGTTGAGTAAACAGATTACATTCATATTCCAACTAAATTACGAGAAAGAAACGGGCTCTCTTGCTATAGGTTTATTTGGGTTTGATTTTTGTTTTTTCTGTCTCCAGTTTGAAGTATAGACTAGGAAATGAGAAAAGAAAAAGTAGACCTATTTGAAGTCATTTTTAATGAATACATTTCTATCAAAATATAAGGGGAGTTGAAATTATCTGGGCTTTTTGTTTTGGGTTGTTTTTTTTTAAGGGTGAGGAGGGGGGATATTTTCTTGTTCTAATCTTTTCAATTATGAAAATCAATGTTTTAAAATATTTTGTGTTTACTGAATTTTCTACAGTGATGAGAAAAAGAACATTTTATTTTTTTTACTTATCCACAAATATATTCCCCTTTATAGTTGTCAGCTATAACCCATTTACTAAAGGCTTGGCAATGGTTGATTGTGAACTATAAACTAGCATCATAACTTCCATTCCACAGTTTTAGAAACTTCAAGTTGGGAGGGAGTTTATCTCATTAAATATTTCTGTAAGCCAACATTTATGACAGCTTTGAAGGCCTCTGATTGTCCCCAAGGATTCTTATACCAGCTATTGTAGGCTTTTTTTATTTAAATGAATGTGAAAGGAGCCTGTGGCATAGTGGATTTATTACCTGCTGGACTGTAACCACCAAATTGGCAGTTCAAAACCACCAAGGGTAAATGTTCCACGGCGTTTCCAATGCTGCCTTCTCAGAAGTAGATCACAAGGCCTTTTTTATGAGATGTCTTCAGTGGTCTCAAACTTCCAATATTTCGGGTAGTAGCTGAGTGTGTTAACGATTTATACCACCTAGGTTTCAAAGGTGAACTCAAAGTACTTTTTAAATAGCATCTTTTTATATAATCTTAGACTTAAATAGCAGGAAATGCATACATCTTACCCATGTTTGAAAAGGATTGTTCCTTGATTAACTCTTCTACTTTGAAATGTAGACCACAGAATAAAAGAAATGAGTATAGTTTCACTTGTCATCTTTTAGATTAATTTCATTTTTTTCTGTGAATTCATGATTTAACAAGCAAAAAATTTGAGTATGCTAAGGAAGTGTATTTGATCCGTTCAACATATTACTTTTTAAACATTTTTAAGCATTTCAAAATATAAATGTTTCTGATTTGTAATTTCTTATTTCTATAAACTTTTAAAAATCCATAATGGGATTTTCTATTCATTGTCGTTGTTTTTTGTTCAAAATATATTACTTCAAAATATCAAACTATAACTTGAGGACATAGTAAAAATTCTCAATTTCTTGAATTTTACCCGTGTAGTAATGGTGATAGTAATGCTGTAGTAGAAAATGTCATCTTTTTCTTTTTTTCTCAAAGCTTTATTGGACATTCATTGGGAAATTTAATAATCCGTTCAGTGCTTACAAGGCCAAGATTTAAATATTACCTTCATAAACTTCATACCTTTCTGTCTCTTTCTGGACCTCACCTTGGTACACTCTACAATAGCAGTGCCCTTGTTAACACAGGTAAAGTTTTATTTTTCTGTATAAAGTATAGAGCATAATAGCATCAAGGAAACTGTCAAATATAAATTGTTTTACTTATTTTTTGTTGTGCATTTTGGCACCAACTTGTCACATATTTGCCATTTCATGAAAATTTCATGAAACAGATATAGCTGTGTATCTGTTTTTATGTTTTCTCTTGCATATGAAGTAAAATATTTATTGAAATAACCTATTAAGGTGATATTTGTAAAATGTCACACTTGAGAATTTTTGTTTTTTTAATTATGCTGCCTCCATGTTTTTAGTACAGTTTTTCATATAATTAGGCTACTCAGAATTTCATTATTGAACAAAGATTAAAACAATAGGAATGGGATTAGCAATACCAGGAGTGCAGGGGGAAGATGGGGAGGAAAGGGAAACCTATGCTGATGATGGACACATGATGGCTCCCGCCACCCCCACCCCACAGGGGGACTAACAACAGAAACTGGGGGGGAAGGGAGACAGCGGGAGTTATGAGAGTTGAAAATAATAATGATTGGTCATTTATAGGGCCACGAAAGTGTTGGTGGGGGAGGAGAGGAACTGACACCAAAGGGCTCAATAGAAAATTAATGTCTAGAAAATAATGATGGCAACATATGTTCAAATGTGCTGATGCAATTGATATATGTTATTGTTATAAGAGCTGTAAGAACCCTCAATAAAATGTTATGAAATTGTAAAATATTTTCTATAAAGTTTAACTTAGATTTTAGTTATATTAATAATAAAGGGGAAATGGAGGAGTAAATTCTAAAATTTAAATGGAAGGTAGGATACTTATTTTGAAATATCTATCACTTTCTTTCATTTTTGTTTGGTGTTTTTTGTGTGATTTTTCTTTTAATGGTTTATAGGTGGGTCAGTTGGTCTCACTGTGAAGATAAATTAGACTTTATTCTCTTTCTTTTCGATGAGTCCTGAAACTACTCTTTCCATTATCTTTCCTACTGCCATTTATTGACAAATCAACCAGACCCTTTTCTTTGTGCCTCATTTCAAATTGGTGTTAATCAAAATACCGCTAGTTTTAGGTTTTTACCATTTCACAAAGAGGGCATGAAAAAAAATGAAATTCATAAATGTTACAAAAACATTACCTAATATGAATAGGATACAGTACTTTAAATTCTCTCTGCACTAAATTTGTTTCCTATAGATGCTTATAACGGTCAGCTTTACTTACTTGAGTTCTAGTTGTTATTTTTGTTTGTTTCCTTGCTTACTTTGTCTCCTGCTTCTCTCTACAATCTTAGGAGTGGTGAACCTGAAAATGAAAATCCCACCAATTCCACAGCACCAAACAATTAAGATTTCATTTAGGTTCCTTAAGGGGCAAAAGCGTTTAAATTGGAGTAACTTGTTATATAACGAAAGAGAATTAAGTATGAAGCTTAAATTATATTCATTTATCAGTTGAAGAGGCAATCCTAATACAATTAGTCTACTATAACTTAACTGTAATTATCTATAGACAAAAAATTCATATAGACTTATTTAAAGATTTTTCCCCCTCTGCTTCTTTACAATTTGTATGAATATATCTAAAGGCACAATTTTCTCAGATTGGTTTTTCATATGCCATTATCTATGTCATTACTGAATGAGTTAGAAAAAGAAAGCCTTCCATTAGCAACTATTAACCTACTTAATCTGTGTTTTAACCTACTTAATCTGTGTGTATGTGTGCGTATGTACATTTATATTTGACATCAGAAAATGGAAATAATTTGCAAATACATTTTTCTTTGGTCAACAATGCTAATTTGAGAGATGTTATTTTGAAGTGAATTATGACATTAATTAAAAATTAATCATATTGGTATTTGTTTTACACTTGCAATTATATTCACAGATCATGTATAATTTTCTAGGACTCTGGTTTATGCAGAAGTGGAAAAAGTCAGGTTCTCTTTTGCAACTGACATGTCGAGATCATTCAGACCCTCGCCAAACTTTCTTATATAAGCTCAGTCAGAAATCAGGCAAGTATATAATAATGGTTTGAAAAATATGCTGTTAAACTTTTTTCTGAAATGGTGAAGTGATAGTTTCATTGTTAAGATTATGTAATTGAAAGAGTAGGCTTTAGGTTTGTTTTGTTTTGTTTCTCGCATTATTGGACTCATCTTTAATGAGCTGTTTCGTTTCTTTGACATATCCTAAAATTGTAGCATTTTTTTCTCAGTGCCAGTTATAAATTAGCCTCTATTGTTTAACCCTCAGCCTATCCTGACCCTCTGTCCTTACTGCCTTCATGCCAGTCCTCAGCCCTCTGTGCAAACTGCCATAGCTTTTTCCTAAGGTTGTCAAGCATTTCTGCAAAATGTTAGTAACTACACTATTAATGTATGTATTTTTCACTTCAAATTTTTACTACTGGATGATTCTTGTTACTCATCTCTTAGTAACTGATTATTAAATTTGTATTACTGGATAGTTCTTGTGACTCATCTCTTAGTCACTGATGATTAAATACATACTCCATCTTGCACATACGAGAGTGACCCAAGATTTTACAGTGTTAAGTCCATAGCTGCTCTTTTGCCACCTCCATCTCTGTTTTTATCTCTGTTTCCTCTGTTGCTGAGCTTTGTGAAGATGCAGTATTCTTGTTAAAGCCTGACTGAAGCACAAACAGTAAGTGCTACCCTGGCCTCTGGGAACACTCATTCTCTTGGTTTGTTTTGATACATCCTATCAACAAGGTAGGAATAGGAATCTTGAAACCAGCTCCCTTGATCTTCCTTCCTGTCAGGCTTTCTTAAATGCCCCTGCTCTCCAGCTGCTCATGGAAAATGTTCCTTTGTGCCATCTCCCCCCAACTCATCTTCACACTAATGTCCTTCCAGGATATTCTGTCCATTGAATTCTCCATTGTGATGTGGACAGTCTGTACTCATCTCTGTCTTCTACAACGAATGCTATCCCCACTTCTAACTGTAAAGCAGAAGGTAATAACGTTTTTCTCCGGAGGTCCATATAATAAGCATGTTTTGCTTTATGGTCACACAGTCTCTGTCACAATTATGTAACAATGCCTTGATAGCATAAAAGAAACTATGTACAATATAGCAACAAATGCATTTGACTGTTTCAGTACAACTATATTTGCAAAAAGATACACCAGGTCAGATACCTGGCCCCAAAATTGCCAACCCCTGCTGTAGGAACTCAGTTTATTACCGAGTAATATCTGGAGTAAGAGAAACTGACCTCCTGCTTTCTGCTTCCAGTTACGAGCACCGCTTCTCCATTGTCTTGTAAAACTGTTTACTTTGAGGCTTGGACCATCTAAGTGTATAGTACCTGTTAATTGGTTTTGTTTTGTTTTTAATTAAAAGATAATACCTGTTAATTGTTAACTTAACAGTCTCCTAATTGCTGCTCACCTGTTCAATGAAAACTCTTAACACAAAGGCTTTTTCATTTAAAAATATTTATTACGTGACTTTGTTCGGGAAAAGATCCTCCTCTCTAGTTCTTGACTTAATCGTCCTTCCCCAGATCTTGGCATCGTTTTGTGATAGTGAGTCCCCCTTTTGAATGATTCATCAAGCATTATAGCTTTGTAGCCCCTTTCTCAACTCCAGTCACTTCCCATTCTTCTCCACTTTGAACCCGTGCATACAGGCAATATCCCACTCTGACTATGGTGCCCTGTCATTTCTCTTTCACTCTCTGAATCTCATTTAATTTTAAAACTTATTTAAAATCTCTACTCAATTTTCTTAATTCTGCCTCTACTTCATAGTTTCACTTCCTGTCTGATCTAATTCAGACTGCATGAATGATCACTTTCATCTTTCCTATGTTATTACTTCATGCTCTTCCATTATGCACATCTGGCTAACCTATGTTGTGTGTATATTAAACGATCCCAGAAACATGCAGATCTATGGAGGCCCTATCTAGTTACCTCTAATCAACTTCCTACCCAATTCACTGGGGAGATTTAAAAAAATTTTAACCTCTGTACCTTAAACTTAAATATGCCTCTGATACCTACAAATATAGTTGTTTTCTGCATTATGTGTGAAACTAAGGTGATCAAACTAGAACTTTCTATGTCTTTTCTTTCTACTTTGCAAACATCTGTATGCCTATGCTTTCCTTGAAGTGCAGTGAAAGATGCATATTTGATTGAAGCATGTTCTCCCCACCCCCTGCCTTGGGACCCGTCTCTTGTTTTTTATATCATGTTTGGTAAAGTCGAGGGGCAGTGAAAAGGAGGAAGGCCCTCAAGGAGATGGATTGACACCGTGGCTGCCACACTGCGCTCCAGCATGGGAACAGTCGTAAGGATGGTGCAGGACAGGGCAGTGTTTCTTTCTGTTGTGTATTTGGTTGCGATGGGTCGATCAACTTGATCAATGACACCAGCATACCTACACATTCTTTCTTTGCAGTTCTTTACTATATAAAGTAACTCCAGTTCCTCCCATATTAAATAGCAGTGGCAGTTATACTCCTAGAAGTAATAATAAGGACCATAGATAGCTTAGTGGTAGAATTCTCCTGTCATGTAAGAGACTGAGGGTCAGTTCTTGGCCAGTACACCTCATAAGTAACCAGCACCCATCTGTCAGTGGAGCTTGCTTGTTGCTGTGATCCTGAGCAGATTTCTGTAGAGCTTCCAGGGTAAGACTAGAAAGATGAGCCTAGCATCCTGCTTCCTTCTTCTGAGGAGGTGTTTTCATGTTTAAGTCTGTAAGTATTAATACCCATTGCAATGGATTACAGACTGAGTTGCTAAGCATGGGTCAGCAGTTCAAACCCACTAGCTACTCCACTGGACAAAGATAAGGCTTTTTGCTTCTGTAAAGATTTCCACCAGTCTTGAAAACCCAAAGGGACAATTCTACTCTTCTCCTATGGGGTCACTGTGAGTCAGAATTAACTCCATGGCAATGTGGGGGTAGGTGGGCCATTATGTGAAATCCAACTACGTATATAGGATTTCCAAGACTTTGTGGAAACAAACAGCCTCGTTTTTCTCTCGCAGAGCAACTGGCAAGTGTGAATTTCCAATCTTGTGGTTAGCAGCCTAAAGCTTAATCCATTGTACTACTAGGGATTCTTATTATTAATTTTGTATGGGCAAAAGGATCCCTTGCTGCATAATGGATTACATGGGGCTGCTGGCTGCAAGTTCTAACCCACCAGCTGCTGTGCAAAAGAAACACAAGGCTTTCAGCTCCCATAAAGATTGAGTTTCAAGACTGCTCTCCAATGGTTCTCTGTCATATAGGGTTCCTGTGAGTAGCAGCCAACTCGATAGCAACGTGTTTAGGTATGAATAGATTTTTGGACCTATGTTTGTTTGGTTTTTGTTTTCTTAATGGATTAGTTAACACTTTTGCTTTCTTTTTTCCCCCCATTTATTTCTGTCTTACGCATAGATAGCAAGGCTCGTCTCTTCCTTCTGATTGAAACAATTACCTAGTGCAATACTAGGTAAGAGTCAAATTTTGAAGTCACAGGTAGATATTAATTGTAACTGGAATATGGCCTTGAACCAAGTTACTTAATCTAAATAGGTTTTAGTTTTTAAAATGAGAATTATAGTATCTCCTCATAAGATTATAAGGACTAAAGGATATAATGCAATCGGTATTCTGTATCAAACAAAATTCTATAAATCTTAGTTTGTTTTAATGGCTCAGATAAAGAGAGCCGCCTTCACTTGCTAACTAATGCTGTTATAAACACCAATCGAAATTGGCTTTCACATTAGCAATGTTTATCTGTTTTAGGAGATTTTCAAGAATTGCCTGGTCTAGATTTCAGTATACCTAACTAATACTGACCTCTGAAAATTATTTTTCTGTTTTAAGATTTCTCCCTGTGCCCAAGTATTCATTTATTAGTGTACACCTTACTTGAATAAGTATCCATATTATAAAATCTGAAGGAGTATTAGGAATATACATTAGCTAATAGATTTAAGTTAATGCAAAAATATAGAAAAATAATAATAAATACACCTTTTCCATGTGCTGGATACTACAATGCACCTTCAAAGCATTTGTGGAACATACCATTATCTTTAATTCCATTTTTCCAAGAACTTTTTGAAGCTTTTTAAAGTATTTTAGTAAAAAATAAATAAAAAAGTATTTTAGTATGTGATATGTATTGAATCATTTAATTCTATGAGGTAAGAATATTATTGCCCTATTTTATAGGTGAGGAATGTGAAATATAGGAAGCTTTATGCCTTTGGTCATAAAGTTTATGTATCGTTGTGTAATGATTCAAATTATGTTATGCTAAATCATTTGGGTATATTTGCAAGAACTAAAGCAGCTATTTCTAATTGAGGTTTTATATATCAACAAATATCCCTCAATTGATAGTAAAATTGGAACAAATTTATGTAGGATTTTTGTTTTGGGTTTCTGTTTTGGGTTTTTGGGCATCTAGTGAAATCTGACAGCTGATAGTTAATTTATACCTAATTGTTTCACCTGTTTATGTACTTAAGTATTTTATTCACAAAATAGAGATCTGTAGGCTCATATCAGAACCATAAGTAAATAAAATCGGAAAGTGTGTAAAGGAATAGAACACTTTTAATGGACACTTTTGAGGAACAAATCAATAACCAGCATGTTGTTCACATGTGTTGTAAAACAATCAAAGGACATTGATTTTTCTTTTATATTGTAGTCTGCTGAAGTTACAAAGTCTTAGGTCCCCAGATTTAGTTATTACCTCTGGTTCTTCTGAATGTTCTATTTCCTATTTGTGTGGAAAACGAAATTAACATTTATAAAACAAAGTTCAGCCTTTAATCATCTATTTTTGATTTAGACAGGGCTTCTGTGGGTCCTCCTTTTGAAGCAGCCATTTTTCCATGCAACATTTCATTATTAGGTACTCATTATTTCAAAGTGAAGCAAACATTTTAAAACAATTTTATAATTTCTAAAACAATTGAGAGATACTTTTTAGAAATACTATATTTTTATAGAAATTATAT